CGGGAGCCCCAGGCGGAGGCGCCGCGGGCCCCCAGGCCTCCTCCTCCCGCGCCCCGCGCTCGCCCTCCTCCATCGGGCCTCCTCACCGCCCGGACGCCCTGGCTCTCCTTACCCGCCAGGGTGAAAAAGACCGAGTTCTGCGCGCTTCCCACGGGGCTCGCCAGGTACGGATCAGGGGGTGGGGAGGGAGCCTCGAGGGATCGTCCGCAAGGCCGCCCGGTCCGGGAAGCCCGAGCCGCAGCCGTACAAACCGCCAAAGCACTTTCGCTACCTCCTGAGAGGGTGAGAGCAAGCGAGGAAAAAGAAGCAAGATGGCGGCTAGCCAGCCCCTACGTGTTACGTCATGACGTCGCGCACGTACAGAAAAATCTCCGCAAGCCCGCCCTCGGTGGGGGGGGGGCGGCAGGGGAGGGGGTGGGGAAATGAGGCTGCGGGGTCACGTGACGCCTCCGTGGCAGCTCGACTGCGGCCGAGGGTAACGCTGCCTCCTCCTGGAAGGAGGGAGTTCCATCAACCGGAACGATCGCGGAGAGACAAAAGCTCTCCTTCCTCCACCTGGGACGATTCCGGAAGTCTTGAGGCGTCTGGAGTACAACTTGGTTTGTCTCCGTGCATCGACCCAACTGACGGATGAGCATGTAGATTGACAACCAGCGCTTTGCTAGACTCGTCTCGGTGAAGTAGGGGACAAAGTGAGAGGGCACGGTGTGGCACTTCGAGCAGGCTGAAGTTACCTCAGCGTGAAAAAAAAGTAATCCAAGCGTGAGGCACAAAAGGACTGGTGTGCTTTGCTGAGACCACTTTTGGCATTTGTAATTATGGGTGTAAATTAGGCACTGTTTACTTTAGTGATTTTTTTTTCTGGCAGTGTTTATCTCTTGGACCAACTAGCAGAGAAAACTAACAGTCAAGAGTCAGTCACTCCTGCAGATGTTTCCTAGAGAAGTGTGACATAGAGACAAGAAAGAATGCTAAGTGAGGAAGGAAAATTATATTGTATCTGGGGGCCAAGCCATGTAGGATCTTGCCTCACGTGTACAAGGCCCTGGGTTTGATCTTTCTTTCCCAAAAGAAAGAAAATAATTCATGAATGTGTGATGAAGTATCTATAATGTATAATAAATTCAAAGATTTTTTTTTTTTTTTTGCCAACTTCTCCTGGTCTAAGTAAAACTCTCTGCTAGTAATTGGTATGTGTTCATGGGATGACACCACAGTGTTAGAAGGTTAAATAAAACCACAAAGCAGTAAGCCACAAGCAACTTCCTCCCAATTGACATTTGTGATCATTTGTTTTAGACTGTTTTGCATTGTTGGGGCTTGAACCCAGAGCCTTCCAGATGTTAAGCAAGTGCCAATCCAACTAAACTATAGCCCCCAGCCCCTTTAATGGTCATTTAAAATGGGACATATTGGCTGATTGATATAACAAGCCAGAGAGAGGCCAAGAAAGTACCTTGGTGATTTTCCCACAATCCATTAGAATCAGGTCTTTAGTATCCTGGTACTAAAATACCTTTCTTGAGCAATGTAGAACACCTCCAACAATCAGCCGCGTTGATATTTGCCCAGGTTATGAGACTGACATGTACAAACAGAATATTCATGAGTTTCTAAGAGCCATGTCAGGGTTCTCTAGAGTAACAATTTATGGAATCAATCTCTATATGTGTCTATATAAAAAGGGGATTTATTAAAATGACTTACACACTATGGTCCAGCTAATCCAACGATGGCTTTGGATGATCACACTTCACTGGAGTCTCTGCTGGTCTTCCCATATATCCTGAAATCTCAAAGTAGGCTTTTATGCCAGAGAAGGAGTGGACTTGCTAGTGAGGCAAGAACAAGCAAAGAGCTTTGCTTGCTTTCCTTTGTCCATGTCTTTATATGGGCTTCTAGCAGAAGGCATGGTCCAGTTGGAGGTGGGTCTTCCTACCTTAAAATACCTGGAATAAAGGTGTGTGATCCCAGCTCAAAGATGCAGACTAGAAGTGGATCTTCCCACTTCAAATTAAGCAAAAAAAAAAAAAAAAAAAAAAAATCTCTCATAGGTGTGCCCCACATTTTTGGTTTTAGTTAATTCCAAATAGTAGTCAAGTTGACACTCCAGAATAGCCATCACATGCTGTAACGTGTATACATCAGTGCTCATATTTGCAGAGGTAGTGCATTTCTTTCTTTCTTCTTTTTTTTTTCTTCCATGACTGGGTCTCACTATGTAACTCTGTCTGTCCTAGAACACTATTTAGACCTCACTATGTAGACCAGGTTGGCCTCAAACTCACAGAGATCCACCTGCTTCTGTCCCCCTCCCCCAGGGTTGAGATTAATGTCATGGGTCACTACTCCCAGCTAGCTAGAGCATTTCCTATGTAGCTAAACTTACTTAAGAAACAAAAGCTGAGCCGGGCAGTGTTGGTGCACGCCTTTAATCCCAGCACTCGGGAGGCAGAGCCAGGTGGATCTCTGTGAGTTCGAGGCCAGCCTGGACTACCAAGTGAGTCCCAGGAAAGGCTCAAAGCTACACAGAGAAACCCTGTCTCGGAAAAAAACAAACAAACAAACAAACAAACAAAAAAACCAAGAAAATAGAAAAGAAACAAAAGCTGAAATTAGACATGGTGGCCCACACTTTTAATCCCAGCACTCTGGAGACAGAGGCAGGTGAATCTCTATGAGTTTGAGGCCCGCCTGGTGGTCTACAGAGCTAGTTCTGGGACAACTAGGACTGTTCCATAGAGAAACCCTGTCTTGAGAAACCAAAGCTGTTGTCAGAAGATGGTTGGTGGGCATAGATTCAGAATAAGTAGTTATATGTAAGGCCATTTCTTGATTTATCTAGTTCCACAAGAGGATGATTTTGTTCCAAAGGTTGAAATATATATTGAGTTTCTAGTGGTTGTAAATTTCCACATTGATTGCCAATATAGCAGGGACATCCTCCTTGCTCTTGATTTAGGCTTCTTTTCTCCTTGACAGCACTTGCATGGCCACCAGGCCTGAAGTGCCCCTGTGTGTTCCTTCCTCTGTTTCCATAGCTACCTCTTAGCAATGTTCTCTCAATAAAAATCAAATCACAGTGGAGTCAGGTCAGTTTGTGCTTTAAAGGTGAGTTTACTCATTTCTGCTCTTACTCATTGCGTGCAGTCTTAAAGTTTAATTCTCAGAGAGCAGGCTTCTTTTCCTTAGTTCCCATCTCTTTTGGTGGTGGTGAGCAGGGGAGAATCTGACTAAAATCGCCATGCATTATTTTAATGTCCAAAGTCAAATACTACTTTCCGTGCAGGAGAGATGACTCAATAAGATGCTTGCCACCTCAGATCCCTTGGCACTGGAGTTACAGACAGTTGTGAGCCACCACCCTATAGATGCTGGAACTGAACTGGAGTGCTCTACAAGAGCAGCAAGTCTTTTTAGCCTCCGAGCCATCTCTCTAGGCCATGCTTACATTTCTTTCATGTTTGTCACATTCTGCTTTGAGCATAAAATCATCCAGTAAGCATTGAAAAAAAACAACAAATCAAATAATTAATCTAGAGTTAAGAATTTCCAAATTCCTGCCATCTTTTGGCTCTGCACTCAGTCAGGTCCAGCCACATTCTTGGAGTTTCGTGATATTCCAAGGTTATGTGGGAAGACAGTTCTCCATGAAGTCACTCATCTGTCCTCTAACCTGTGAACAGAACCTTTGATCTGGATGATTTTATTTTAAAGTTGTTTGTACAATAAACAGCCTTAGAAGACAACATCATCTACACACACACACACACACACACACACACACACACACACACACACGCATGTATAAGAGGCAGAGAGATGAAAGATCCTTTAGACAGTCTTTGAATTCTCCATACTCTATGTTCTTTGTGTTGTGGTCCCTCTTTGTACCACGCTGTGGGAATCAGAGGATGAGAGAGTAACACAAAAATGATACTCTGGCATCTGATGTTGCTGCAGTCAAGATTACCCTTTGAGAGTTGGAAAGATGGCTCAGTGGTTAAGAACAATGGCTGCTGATCCAGAGGACCAGGGTTCAAGTCTCAGCAACCACATGGTGGGTCACAAGCATCTCCAGTTCTAGGGGATCAAACACCCTCTTCTGGTCTCCTCAGGTACCATGCACACAACTGGTGCACAGACATACATGTAGGCAAAAACACTCATATGCCTTAAATAAATCTTTAAGAAAAATTGAAAAAAAAAAAAAAAGATGCTTGCCACCAAGCTTGATGACCTGAGTTGTGGGGAACCAGCTGGGAAACCAGCTCCCACATTTTATGACAGAGTACTCTTGAGGAGTGAGGGATATGAGAGTTAGATGTAAGAATAGAGGGGAGAGAAACAGATAAAAACACAGAATAGCCTCAGGAGGGCCTGGATCCTCATCTACCGGCCCCTCCTGTCTCTTCTAAAGAGCTAGTTATAAGAATGCCAAGGGGTGGAGTAAAAGACCTCCCCCCAGCACAGCCAAGTGCAGACCCTCTCCAATCACCTAGTAACCACACGTGTGGTCAAGCAATCCTTAAATGCAGCTCTACTGGGTAAAGCAAGCTCATATCTCACTAGGAAACCTTTGTGGGTCTCCACACTGAGTTTAATCCCTAAGACCCATGATGGAGAACCAGTTTCCACATGTTATCATCTCTTCATGCATGCAAATGGCAGAAAACACTACACAATAATGACATACAATGTAATAAAAGTGTTTTTAGAAAATACTACTTTATAAACACTTTTTGCATTGACCTGATCACTCACTCGGTGGAAAAAGCACCTGTTTGAACCCCGAGACCCCCATAGAAATGTCAAGTAGGTATGGCAGCCATCTGTAATTTTCAACACTGAGAAAAACATACATGAGTTCCCAGGACAAGCTGCCATCTGTGTGCTCTGGGTTCAATTGAGAGACCCTCCCTGAACAAATAAGGTGGAGAGCAAAGAAGGAGGACTCTGATGTCAATCTCAGACCTCGACATGAATGGCACACACGTGCATCTGTACCCATATATACAGGTGCACTTACCACATACGTATGTATGTTTGTCATGTACACATACCAAAAAGAAAAGTTTTTTTTTCCACTAACAAGAGTTTTATTAAGATGAAAGAGACAGACGAGTGCTCAGGCCTGTGGAGAGACACGTGTGTGGAGAAGAAGAAGAAAGAGAAGAAGCAAAGGTTTTTTTGTTTTCATGTGTATATATGTGAAAAACTTTGTTTTGGTAGTGCTGGTTTTTCGAGACAGGGTTCTCTGTCTAACAGTCTTGGCTGTCCTGTAGGCCCAGCTGACCTCGAACTCACAGAGATCTGCCTGACTCT